AATTTATATAAAACCTAAATCTATCCAAATCCTAACCTAATCCAATTCATTTTTCTCCTCTCTCCCCCGACGCCGTCGCCGCCAGCGTCGCCGGTATCGCCTCCTCCTCCCTTCTTCTCCCCCTCATTCCTAGGTCGCGGGACGCTGCTGTGACACCTACAGCTCGCTTTTATAGTATATGTATATTATATGCCCATACAATCTGCTGCTGAAGAAAGTCAAAAAAATGCATATGTTCATACACACTCGCTTTTATAGTATATGTATATTATATCAACCACAGCTTTTTTTATTTCTGCAGTTTTGGATTTTTTCTTACAAGATTTTTAGGTACTGATAGAATCTTGTAGGAAATAGATGAGAAAGAAACCAGATTGCTCCTTTTTGTATTCAAGAAAGGAAAGTGTTTTAGGCTTTATTACAAAGAAAAATTCATGAATTTCATTTTTATTGATAATATTGAAATTTTAATATTTAATTAAATTATGTTGTTGTGGTGGGGTCAGTGGTGGTGATTTTTTTTTTTTGGTGTCTGTGACCTCGTTATTGAATTGTAGTGATTTTTTTGGTGTTTGTGACCTTGTTATTGAACTGTGGTGGTTTTTTTTTTTGTCTGTGACCTCGCTATTGAACTGTGGTGGTGTTTTCTGGTGTCTGTGACTTAGCTAGTGTCTGTGATATAGCTATTGAAATGTGGTGATTTTTTTGGATGTCTGTGACCTCGTTATTGAAGTGTGGTGTTTTTTCTGTATCTATGACCTAACCAGTGTCTGTGACCTTGCTATTGAATTGTGACTTTAAAATTGATAATTTGTAATTAAAAAAGAATCTGTGACCCTACAAATTTGAAGATACGTGACCTGTGACGTATAATTTTTTTAATCTGTGACCTTGGAATTGAAGCAGTTACCGGAATTAACGGTCACCGGAAAATATTTGCCGAAATTAAGTGCGGCCGAAGAATAGTTGCCGGAGTAGTCGCCGGTCGTCGGAGCAGTCG